CGATTTGCTTCCATAGCCCAGCAACTTCTATGGATGTCTCAGCGCGCCATATTCACACACTTCAGTCAAACCAGTTGTTCAACAAACGCATGGAAACATCTATTCCATGTGTTTGTCCACCAAAAATAATTGAAGCATCAGAGTCATACACTGTATTAACTATAGTTTTTATATTTGTAGTTCCTTCTGTAAGATTGTTTAAAGTCATTATATTTCTTTCTCATCCTGTCTCTCTTTTCTCTCAATTTATCCCAGAAATTTGTGCACAGTGTCATCTTAAGAGGCCACCATTCACCATACTCCTGTTAAAGCATCCTCTTCTACGGCTTCATCAACCAAGTGTGACTGCGGGGAAAGGGAGTCATCTGCTAGTATCAGGTTCATGATTTAAATTAGATAGATAAACCTAAGTGTATAAATAAATGTAGTGACAAGCTGTTTAAGATCAAGTAAGGTGAAAAGGGGTAGATAGGAAATATTAAATATGTCCAGATATGCCTGATTTTACTGTTCTGTTACTGACATGTGGAGGTGCAAGGAGTGTAGTGTATCGTTTTCTGGTAGATATGATCTACTTAAACATTTAAGACTATAGCACCGCCATAGACAACGTTACTCGTGTCCACATCTAAACTGTCCATGCAATTTTAAGACACTAAATGCTTTACGTATACATTTAAGTAGAGTTCATCCTAAACAAACTTGTCAGGAGCTCATGGAATTGAAAACATTTAGTTGTCCTTTGTGTAATTGTACCAATATTTCTACGGAGAGGGATTTTTTCATACATATTGGCATTCATTTTAAGAGTCATGAAACTGTTACCTGTATGTTTGGGGATTGTACCTTCAAAACAAATATCTATGGAACGTTTCACACACACAAGAACAGGAAACACAACCCCCATACAGTAAGTGATTTTAAACCAGGTATAGTGACAACAACTAGAATTTCACAAGAATCATCTGATGGTGCAGAGGAGAATACACTTAACCCAGATGACTCTGAAGTGGAAGACAGTGTATCTCCACGCAATGATGTGGATATAAGCAAGATCCTGCCTGGCATAATTGAGCAGAACTTTGCTGCAGCTTTGCTTAAACTAGAACATTTTGCACATGTGCCAGGCACAAAAGTTGATGAGTTTCTTGAAGAATTGCACTATTTGTTATGCTCAGCTGCATTTCCTCTCTCTGTTAACTCTATTGAAGCTGTGTTTCAGAAACATGGTTCCATACCTGACAAGTCAGTGATTAAAGAAGTAGCCACAGCCCTCACCACGTCTCATCCCTTGCTAAAATCTATAGAGAAGGGTGGCTCTTTGAGCACATCATATCTTCGAAACAAGTTTTACAGGGAAAACTTTGATGTCATTGAGCCCACTGAGTACATGCTTGATAAAAGGGAAAAGAAAAGCTTTCAGTATGTGTCTTTACTGAAAAGCTTGCAACAGCTCTTCAATAGGAAAGATGTTGTGGATAAAGTTGTGGAAAACCACAGGGTACATCAGAGTCATGGGATAACTGGAGAACAGCGTACTTATAAATCATTTCAAGATGGCTCACACTTTAAGGAAAATGGTTTTCTTTCAGGGGGTGACTTGAGAATCTTGCTAACTTTGTACATAGATGATTTCGAGGTATGCAATCCTCTGGGTACTTCACGCAGGAAACACAAGCTCTGTGGTATCTACTGGACTCTGAGTAATTTGCCTCCAGGCTCACATTCAGCACTTTCCTCGATTTACCTGGCAATCTTGTGCAAATCTGATGATGTGAAAAAGTTTGGTTATGACAATGTCTTGCATCCTCTTCTTCAAGATGTAAAAACCCTTGAGCACGATGGAATTTTTGTTCCGTTGCTTGGTAAATGTGTTAAAGGCACAATTCAAGTTGTTGCAGCAGATAACCTCGGTGCTCACAGTATAGCAGGTTTTAACGAAAGTTTTTCTGGTGGAAACATCTGCAGATTCTGCACAGCAACACGAGCAGAGATCCAAACGAGCGATGTGAGATCAGGTTCTTTTGTGCTGAGGACTAAAGAACTACATGACTTCCACATGAATTCAGCACAGCAGAACAGTTCAAGCTGTTTTGGGGTGAAAAGACCATGTGTAATCACCAAAAACCTTGCCCACTTCAGTGTTCTGACAGGTTATCCACCAGATATAATGCATGATGTGTTTGAGGGCATTGTGCCTGTGGAGCTTGCACAGTGTTTGTCACTGCTGATATACAAGAAATATTTCAGTCTTGAGCTTCTAAACAAATCTATCCTTAGTTTTCCATTCAAGTGGTCAGACAAGACTAACAGGCCTCATGTTATCCCACAAACATTCTCAAAAACAATCGGAGGGAATGCTCATGAGAACTGGGCACTGATAAGATTTCTTCCTTTTATCATTGGGCATCTCGTGCCTGAAGATGAAATTGCATGGCAAATTTTAATGGATTTGAAAGATATTGTAGAGCTGGTGGTTGCTCCAACACACACAGAAGACTCCATTGCTTACCTTGAGTGCAAAATTTCAGAGCACCGCAAAAGATACCAAGAACTCTTTCCTAATGTGCAGCTTCTACCTAAACATCATTACTTGGAACACTATCCTGCTCTCATCAGGAAGTTTGGTCCTCTCGTTGGTCTCTGGACGATGCGATTCGAGGCTAAGCACAGTTTTTTTAAGCATGTCATTCGGCACTCAAACTGCTTCAAAAACGTACCCCTCTCACTAGCTGTTAAGCATCAGCTCATGATTTCATATCACATGAGAGCATCCAGTTTTGAGAAGTCTGTTCTTGAGATGACAAGTGTGTCAACAGTTTCTGTCGATGTTTTAAAGGACAAAATTGTTGAGAATATTAAACAAAGATTTCCTGGTACAAGAGAGGTGCATTTAACTAGATCTGTGTCAACCAAAGGTGTAAGTTTCAAAAAGGACATGATTATAGCTCATGGGTCTACAAGTGGACTTCCTGATTTTGGACAGATAGTTCACATTGTTGTTATTCAGGAGAGACTGTTTTTTATGGTTAAGAGACTTAGTGGGTGGTATAGTGAGCATCACAGAGCCTTTGAGCTCATGGCATGTCCAACCAAAGACATAGATCTGATTGAGTTTAGTGACTTAGCAGATGACTTCCCTCTGGCAGACTACTTTGTTGGGTCTCTCAAAATGGTGACATTAAAAAGACATATACATGTATAAGGTAAGATGACATTCTGATCTAAAAAATTGTTATTTGGACTGTGACTGCTGTCTTGGAATAAAAAAAGAGGTGTGATTATTTCATGAATTATACATTTATCTAAACAATGCTTAAATTAGCCTGAAAATAGATGAAATGGTAAAGAAAATGACATTAAATGCTCAATTAAAATGGCAATATCATGGACTAGGTATTAATGACACTCAAAAAAGTAACCTTACAGTATCTTATATCCTTGAAGTTTTTTTTGTTTATTTTAACCAAGATATTTAGATCAATTTGTTACACACTGTAGTTTTACTATTAAATGAGACTCTTGGTTTTGTGTCTGAAATATTTTATTACAGACAACTTTATGCTTAAAGCCTTGGTCTATTGAAAACTGTTTTCCATTTTTATATATTTTTTGAAAACTGAAATTTCATGTACAATAATGAATCTAGATATATATTTTAGGTTAACCAATGAGAATAAGTCTCTCAACCTTAGATAAGATGTACTCTTGTACAAATATATTTTTACATATATATTTATGTGTGTTTGTTTTTATTCACAGATTATTGTGAAATGGCCGCTCCAGTGAAACTCAGAATCATCCTTGGGGAAAATGATTCCCAGAGACTAACCCTGCAAGAGGGGATTCCAGAGACTGTTGGTGAACTTGTTCAGCACATAAAGAGGCAGTGTGGGGTAGAGGACCACTTCAGGCTGCAATTTATGGATGCTGAGTTTGGCAATGACTTTACCAACTTGACGTCAGTGTCAGAGATCCAGGACAAAAGTACCTTAAAGCTTGTCTTTGATTCAGCTGCCTCTGCCCTGCCTGATGTCATAACCCCTCCACCCTACTCCACTCCTGCCACATCAGGGTCTGGTGAGTCATCACGTTCATCTGGTAGCTTGTGTGATACGGACATTTTGTCCTCTTCTAAGTCCAACCCTTCAAGATCCTCTGGATGGCCTGTTGTTTTTCTTGTTCCTCAATTCCCATATGATTGTGAGCTGCAGCTGGACAAAGCCAATGCTGCATTCAAAGAAAGCGGAACTTTATTGAATCCAGACATGAGGCTTAAAACTGCCATTCTTGACAGTTTAGCTGAAAAAATTGTTCAGTACAAAGTGTATCCCTCAGACAATGAGTTTGAAGAGGTTGCCGAAGCCCTTGTGTCATCCCATCCATGTTTGAAAGAGCCAGGCTCTGCCACTGGATATGGTGGCTGGAAGGTGAGCTTAAAGTACAAACTTGCTAACTACAGGAGGAAGCTCAAGCGGCTTGGATGTCCAGAGGTTGAACTTAATTCGCTGACAAATAAACCTGCAGATAAATGCAGTGCTGCTTATGGTGTGAAGAAGCCCAGAAGAGCGGAAGTTAATTACTGCCCCACCTACCCATCTGGTGAATCCGCAGAGACACTTGAAAAGATAAGAGAGACCCTGCTTTTAGAAGTAAGGAAAAGGAACAATGAAGACACAGTGGCAGCAATGATGGACAAGACCTTTGCACACAGAAGGCAAGAAGTTATTCGTGATGAACCCTTGATTGCTGATATAAAAACCAGATGGCCGGCTCTCTTCTGTGTGCGTGAGGTAGGTGAATAAATGCACAGCACTCATTCACTTTGACTGAAATATGTACAGTGTGATTTATATCAGCCAACAAAATATGGGCTAGCCTTGGAAATAACTTGTAAGATGATTCAGGATTTGGTGATAGATGACAATTGTTAAGCTAGTCGGTCATTTCAATGCTATGGTAGTTTAATTTACTTTTGTGTACCCTTTTTTCTGTTTAAGCTAACTGCTGAATTCAAGAGGATTACAACCGTCAGTTTGCTGTCAAAGTTCTTCTCCCAGCTGGATGCTCATTCTTCAAACTTGATGAGGGTGTTTGGCAAGAAAGGTGGCGTTCAAGGAAGAAAGATAAGGAGCATCATGATACCCATCACCAAGGTATGATAATAGAATAAAATAGAAATTGTCAAACCTGTACCGNTCTCTGAATCTAGAGCTGTACCTTTTGGCTCAGCCTCACCGTCCGTCTGTGAATATTTAGTAGCGGTGGAGGACGTCTCTACATTTTCTACAGTCCAGAGTCCAGAAGTGGAGTTTCTAAAGTGAAGTTTGAACTAATTAGACATTAAAACATCTAACTAAAACATCTCCTATTCTAATCAGAAAAAAAAATATTTCAATGTTAACTTTATTAGCAATATTTGCATTTATCAAGCTAACAACAGAGTAATTTATAGGTTTCATGGTGGGAAAAATAATTGTATTAAATTAAATTAATTTATTTTTTTAACTATTATCAACTTTCACATTTTATTCCAGTGTTGAACACTCTCCTCTGCTGTGGACAAACTCAAGGTAACTTTAGCTTTTCATCTTTATTATAAATATATTTTGTATTATTCTTTTTTTATCATTTTAATTTTATTTGTTAATATCTATTATAAACCAGAACAGATTTGAACTAAATGCTGCTTCTACTGTAGATGCTGTGCTGACAATTCAGCCCAACTGGTCGACATTTTATAGTGGAGAGTCTGTTACTATCATCTGTGACATGAATGAAGGAGCAGAAACTGACTGGAATTACCGTATAATGTGGAATGGAGGAGAATTTGTCCGCTACAGTTCACATAAAAGCTCCACATTACGTCTCCAAACGGGTCGCAGTGGTGAATATAAGTGCTGTGGTTCCAGAAGCAGCTCACATCAACCCAAGTGTAGTGATACTATCTCTATAACTATTTTAGGTAAGACTCCAGTATTCTAAAAAATAAATTGTAAATTTTAAAAATAAGGAAGAATTAAATGTTTTTTTTCCTTTTTCACGTTTCCAACAAGCACATTACTTTTCACTTTGAATTTTTAAAGTTTTTAGTATAAAATCAACTTTTTTTCTGTTTTTCATAACAGCAGATAAACCCACAGCCAAACTGACAGCAGGTCCATCAACCATACCAGTAGGGGGCAGTGTGACAATGAGCTGCA